AATTTGCGGTTTCTAAGTTTGGACCGCCGGACAATAACTGACGTGAAGGGGAAACTTAACGAAGGTTCATTGTCCGGCGGGATACATTAGTTAACGGCTTAGCTGTTGTTAATATATACGAGCATGTATGAGTGTATATACATGTACATATGTACATATGCCAGCATTAGGGCGGTTCACCAAAAGTACGAAAAACTATTTAGGCTGAAGGCCTAAACATGCCGGCTCCCTTGCGATAAGCAACTTCTACAAACTTGACCGCGTCTCAGCTATCAGGCGCACTTGTTCGGTTGGAAGAATAGAAAAAATTTTAATCTAGAAATATTCATTTGCATTCCAGCAGCAGCTTCGGCGTCCAACAAGTTCGTCCTTCTTTCTTTGTAGCTACTACAGAAATTGAATAAGGGAATTAAAGAAATAGACGTGGTTACTATTCAAATGCACTTTATTCACGACTTATTTTATATTTATATAAAAATTCATTGTTTTTTTTTCTGAATAGAAATAAAATCCATTTAAACAATATTATGGTATAATAAAATTTCATTTGAAAAAAAACTATGCTCTGCAGACTCCGGAAAGCACCCATCCAAAGATGGTGCTCTGAGCCAGCAGAGGCCCGAAGGTATTCGGAAGAATGCCGGGTAGCAGAATATCGGCGTATACGTCGGTGCCGGGTACCAGGCGTATCGGCGCGGACTCGTAAAATTTGGGATCCGCTAAACGGATATGTGCGTATGTTGCGGCGACCGTCGGATCTACACTGCTACTTGGCGCTACTCGGTGGAAATGGGGCGTAACCACGGCATGGGTCGCAACTCGTTTATTTTGGCCGTATTTCCCTCGGAGACATACGAGACTGCCCGTTTGCTCGCCGACTCGTGTTTGCTTTAGCCGTAGCTCGCGGGCCAGATCCGCAGATACAATTGTCGTTGGAGCGCAGACGTCAATAAGCGCGCGGATTAAATGCAAGCGCCCTCCCGCCTCAATTTTGACCACGACCGTCGGAGGAATAGCTACCATCGGGCGGAAGGTTGGCCCTACAATGGGGTTTTTCGCCGATAACCCATTACGGAACGCGCTTGGTAGTGATAGCTGGCGAGGCCTAGTCGCCAGTCTATCTTCATATGCGGATGGCGATGGGTTGCGCGAAGATCGCTGCAGGCGGAAAGACCGAGTTTCCGCTCTGCAGTCTCGGTGGCGTCGCTGATGCGTTCGCTGTCGTTGGTGTGGTCGCTGTCGCTTGTGCGGTCGTTGGCGCTTATGCGGTCGTTGATGATCGCGCTCGTGTTGGAGTAAAGGTCGGAAAGACCTAGTTTCCGGTACCCTTGCAGTAGTCAGGTGGAGAGGCCGAGTCTCCACTCCGAACTCTATAATCTCGCCCTCTTCAATATCTGGACGGAGAGGCCTGGTCTCCGTTCCAGAATCAGACGCGTATAGCGAGATCGCCGCCTCATAACTATTGCGCTCTTCTTCTTCGACTTGGACGCTCCAAGGCTTTTGTGCTTCGTCTGCGGGTCGTCGAGCTTCACCGAGGTGAAGCGTAGTGTGGTGCTTCTCACCGCATCGACGGCATCGTCCTTCGCTGGCACATCGTTCGGTTGCGTGATCTGTGGCTAAACAATTTCCACAGTATCGACCAAGTAGCGCGAAAAACCGGGCATACCCTAATTGGGTGATTTGCGTCACATAAGTGGCACGGCACGACGAAGCGATGGGCATTCTTTGCGGCGTTTCGCTTTACTGCACTGAAGCGGGTCATGGTTGTCTGAAATACGCTTTTTTTTTATTTAGGTGCCTCAGTTAAGTTATATTTTTTTTTTTGTACGTTGTTGTTGGGTAGCGAGCGATTAAATATATAAAAGTAAAACGGATCGGCGAGAAAGTTTCGTTTTCCTTTTGCAAATCTTAAATTTTACGATCTAAGCAGGGCGTTCTTGGGCATATCGAAATTGGAAACTGGCACGTGTAAACGCAGAATTACCCATGTATTGTGGTTGATGGGTCACACCGGTGCTATATATTTTCCTATGCAGGGTTGTACCGGAAGACAAAAAATATAAATGTCGCCCTGACATTATGACAATTCTAACAAATTTCAAAGGCAACGTGAGAAAGTGTCAAACTGAGGGCATTCGCAAGAAATTTGTTTTTGTTCAGCTGATTTGTTATTTTTTTCCCCAAATTGATGGCTTAAATTCTGCCAATGTAAAACAAAACTTTCTTTGTACTTTGGAGACTTTTGTTTAGCCAAGATCGACACCCAACAGCCTGGGGGCCGAAAAAAAAAAGTTGAGGTGCCACTGTATGTTACCATTGCCAAAAACAGGGTACCTCATATCCCAAAAAATTGCAAGTGTAATATAAAATTTTTGGTAAAATTCTTATGTACCAGCCAATTTGTTTTGCGGAAAAAAAAGTAGAGTATCTAGAGGCAAAATTAGTGCATACGTATCTGAATACGACACGGCAAAAAGAAGACAAAAAATATTTGCAACGATAGCCTTTTTAATAGCTGACGACAAAGTGCGATAATTTAACCGACCTACTACGTGCACCTGGTGGCATTTATTTAAGTGTGGTTACTTCTGTCTACAAGTGGCAATTAATGAAATTTATTTTTATGAATGATTTCATTACAAGCATGTGAAAAAAAAAATTTTTTCTCCACAAACGAGAAATAGATGGCGCCGCTGGAAGTTATGTAGTAGCGGCTTTATGCGGAGACTTAAGTTGACATTTCTACTCAGCGGCTCACATTACGATTTCCTGAATGAAAAAAAAATCATTCAATCGATGGCCACATGGAGTAAAACAGTAAAATGGGTGAGTATGTCTTTTATTTCTTATATAATGTTCAGTAAATGCTCTAGTTCTTCAAAATATTTCTTTTCTTTTTTCTTATCAGTGCAATACAGAATTAAAAAAAAAATCTTCAGCAATGGATGACGGCACTGGACTATGTCGCCTATGTTTGCGTCATGACAAATCAATTGTGAATATCTTTGAGGAGGAGCCTCCACAGTCAGCACAAAAAACGCCACCAACCGTTGGAGCAGAGAAAAGAATGCCAATGGTGGAACGGTTGTATGATTTGTTAGGTGTTAAGTTTCAGCAATCAACGTTGTTGCCTAGTAACATCTGCCAGCGCTGTTTTGCAATGGTTGAGGCGTTGATAATTGCATAATAACTGAAGTGGACCCCAATCAAGATTACGAAAGTTCAGAGGATGATTTTTCTATGGAATCGGATTCGGAGGGCGAAGAGCATTCGGCTTCATCACCACACGCCTTGCAAATGCAAACTTCTACAAATGATACGCATCAATTATCGCAGCAACCGACAAATGAACCAAACGATTCGCTATCGGCAACAGTTCCTATGACCACAGAGGAACAGCAAAACACCGACAACTCCATGCCTGCGCCCGAAGCACCAACTGCTTTTCCCAACATGCTTGGTAGCGACTCATTTATTGCCGGAGAAATTGTGATTAAAAAGACCTTCCTTTGCCAGTATTGTGATATGGCATTTACAACGC